TTTGCTGAAAAACTAAACATACATGCTAATAAATAGATATGCATATATGACATGACTCACCACTACATTTCGACCATGGAGCGGAATTGTACGACAGATTAACGACAGTATATAGCCTGATCTATATGTGGAGGGATCTGCTTGATCTCTGTCCCAAGTTCTTGTTCAATTCTATACCTGAAAGAAAACAGTATGAAAATCATAACAATCTCCAAAAATGAAGTAATGTTATATCAATGAAAAATAGAATGAATGACAGCATACAAATTGAAGCGGTCTTCATAGGTTATCAGATTCACAGCTAACCCAAGATGTCCAAACCTTCCGGATCGTCCAACCTACACATGACAGTATTGTCCATGACAAAATAGCACAGCAGTCATGAATGGTACACTGGCATAAAATTTAACATACCCTGTGTAAATATGTCTCCGAGTTCTTAGGAAAATCAAAATTGATTACAACATTGACTGCTTGGATATCTATACCTCTCGTAAATAGATCTGCAATTAAATTGCAAGAGGAAGTTAAAACAATTATTGCAATAATGGAAAGAGAATACTGTTTAACTAGAAAAACAATTTCATTTGATGAGGCTAGAATCAAAATGCAGGTAAAAGGCATGCCCCTTATTTCTCCTCCCATCTAAATTAGTGGTGCGGAGAAATGTTGCTGACATAGGATGCAATCAAACAATTCTAGGAGAAGGGGAAAGGGAAAGGGAAGAGAGGAAGAGAAAGGAGGGGGAAAAGAGAAGAAAAGGGAGGGAAAAAAGAGGAGGGGGAGATAAAAAGGGAAGAGGAGTTAGAGAGACGGAAGAGAAATTAGGGAAGAAAGCATCAATTTATTTCACTATCAAAGTTTTCGTTTATTACAAAGCATAAGACCCCTTTATATAGGATTTGAAGGATCCTATTCTAAATAAGAAATATCTAATAAATTCTATTAAATCAAACTCTAACTATGCTTCTTAAAATACACATCAAAATTGAAAGCTAGATTATATAATATCTCTTCTAATATTCCATCAGTTGCATCCCTCATATAAAATTGGCCAAAAAAATAGAGAATTTGATACGAAATGAATGATTCACAAGGATAGTGGAAGATGTAAACACAAAGAGAGCAAGTGCACGCTGGTGATAACCTAATAACTACTTATGTGGGAATACAATAAACTACATATTAAAAAATATACAAAAATGCTAGTCGAGTTGAAATTTCCATAATTAGATTATTTTAAAAATAGCAGCAATAAAACTAAGAACTCCTAGTCTTCGTGGAATCATGCAGTCAAGACTGGGGACAATAACATTAAGAAAGAAAAAGGGTATTCCTTCATCTGTTTAGGCCCATTTTTGTTACTAGTAAATAATCAAGAAAGCCCTTGCATTGAAAGCCCAAAAGAAGGTAGCATAGTCACTTTACCAAATGCTTCAAAAATAGCACGCGCCTAATAAACTTTTCAACTTTTGACCCTCCATATTCCCTTGCTGTTATATTAAACATATTCAAGATTAACTTGTCTATTTACTCGTACTATCATGCACAAATTGTTCACAAACATTTCCCCAGCCAATCCAATTGTTGCAAGCAAAGCACAATAAATCTAAGGGACTAATACGTCTACAATTTGTAATACATTTATATGAACCAATATTGATATGATCCACGGGCATAGTCAAACAAGTTGAGAATTGCATACTCATCTGAGAATAATTGTAGATGTAAAAGCTTAGTCATCACAAGAAGATGGAGATCATACCCGTGCAAACAAGATTCCTACAGGCACCATTGCGGAAGTCATGAAAAACTCTGTTGCGATGATCTTGAAGCATCTTAGCATGGATATAAAAACAAGAATAGCCAAGCTCTGTGATTTTCTTGGCAAGAAGTTCTACTCGATTCACGGAATTGCAGAAAATAATAGATTGGTTTATTTGAAGCTGCAGGCAGAAAAATTCATGTGTATATAATCCCCAAAACAGAATTTCCAAGGAAAAAAACATGATGCATCATCCAAAATAGATGGTCTCGATCAAGAGTTCTAACCTTTGAAAAGAGAGTATTGAGGCAGTGAACTTTCTGTCTTTCTTCAACAAATGCATAATATTGTGTTATACCCTTGAGAGTTAACTCATCCATAAGGTTGATCACATAAGGCTTCTGCAGGTATTGATCTTTGAAATCTTTCACCGTGACAGGAAATGTAGCAGAGAACATTAAGATCTGACGGTTTGCAGGCAGAAAACCAATTAACTGCTCAATGGAAGGTTGGAACTCTGGTGACAAAAGCTTATCAGCCTGAAAGACATCGGTAGAAACAGGATAAAGTTTACCCATCAATA